AACAGAGAAGAAGAAAGGAAATGTGGTCGGGATAACCTGGCAGAGTAGCAGGTGTGTGTGGGCGGGGGGGTGTAGGTTGGGGGCACGGGGGGCAGAGGAGGATTGGGGGATGGAGCACAGGATTCAAGCCAACAGGCAGTTGTAGGAAGTGAGACACTAGCCACGTGGGTCCTATGGACACCGTCTAGACTAGAGCATGCTTCGTAGATCCTGACTGTCAGCAAGTGTCAAATGCTGCAGGGTGAAGAGACATTTTCTCTTTCATTACTGTTTGGCCCTTTTAGTAAAGCTGGTTGTCTGTGCTGTGAAGGTGAAAAGCAGCCACAGCTCCAATTGGCCATGGTCCTTGGGAGTGGGTGGGAGGTGGGATGGTGGGGTGGGCAGGACATGTGTGGCCGCTGGGGTCGGGGTGAAGGTACCAAGCATCTCCTTCCCCTCCACCCCCCAGGCCCAGGTGAAGGACTACATGCGCGAACTGGATGACATTGACATGCACGCCTCCGGCGAGGAGATCCTGGCGCAGAACAAGTAGAATGAGAAGAAGCTGAAGAGCATCCAGGGTGAGCAGGCCTGACATAGTGCCACGTTGGCTCCTGGCGTCCACACCCAGCCACGCCTGCCAGTGGGAAAGCAGAAAAGCCCATCAGCTGCACCACGAACAGGCGGAGCCATTTCCCTCCTGTTTCTTGATCCAAGGGGATACTCAGGGTCGCTGCTCCACGGGGCCCGCTTTGGGCAGAGCTAAAAACAAGCCAGGGGAACTCCAGGAATTAATTGGGGGTGGTTCTTTTTTGTTGTTTTTGTTTTTTCTTTTTGCCCACACGGTGCCTGGCTCCCACTCAGCCCTGCGTCGCTTCCGTTTTCAGACGTTTATGTATGACTGCAACACTGGGCTTCCTATAGAGAGATCTGCTGTCAGGAGGAAAGGAGCCCAGAGAGGAAACAAAATGATCAGAGGGAATCATTAATCGGCTGCTTCCCCCATGTCCCCTACTGGGGATGTAGCCTACAATTGGGCATGTGCCCTGACTGGGAATCAAACCATGACCTCCTGCTTCATAGGTTGATGCTCAACGACTGAGCAACACCGGCCAGCTAAATGTTACTCTTTTTAAAGCCTGGGGCGAGAAGAAAGGCTGATGGAGCCCTGGCAGCAGCTTTGAAGATGTTTGATGGTGCGGCTTTCACAGACCCCTCTACAACCCTGCCCACCACTCCCCACCCCTCCTGCGTTCTGATCTGCTGAACTTGAGGCTGCCTCCTCTCATCCCTTGTTCTGGGCAGAGTGCCTTTCCACTTACAATCGTTAATCGAGATAAATTACTCCATTTCCTGTTTTAAATTGACACCCAAAACCTGGTAACTCTGAGAATGTGCCCAGTTCGCTTACACATTGTACGTTCATTGAAATTAAACACAGTGCATTCGTCTTGACTTTAACACAAAAATATTAACATTATGGGTTTGAGTTTTGTCATCTTTATTCTTAGTCCTGACCCTTCCTACGTTGACATTTGTCTCTCACTCAGAGCCCAATTTTGCCACCTGAGGAAAGACAAGGAGGCTATCCCCTGTGTGATGCTGGCAGACTGGCAACAAGGGCTGGGACCAGTAGCCACTTCCCATAAGGTCGGCAGGGGCTGTTGGCATGGAGTGGAGGGGCCTGTGC